ATTTTGGGGACCTGTGGTTTTTGATTTTTTAAAAATCCAATTTTTGACCTAGAATGCTCTACTTCGAACTTGGTCTGTCTTTTTATGAGACAAAACGACCCTGAAAATCCCAGGTCGCTAGCTCAATTCGTTCTCGAGTTATCGTGCGTACAGACAAACAAACAAACACACACACACACAAACAGACGCGAAACTTTTTGATCATCAGTGGAGTAATAGGCTTCGCTATCGCTCAGCCAAAAACCGTTATTGGACAGCAGAAGTTTCATGTTTCATTTCCCTAATTTTAGAGTAATACGTCCCCAACAAATGCTGTGAGTATATCAAATTTTGGGGCCGAAAGGCCCTGTTCCCGAGTACCCTCCCATTAACTCGTCTCGGGTATCAGCGCCGCAGGCCTAGCTATATGTGCGCCAGGCGCGTCGCAGCGTAACAGTATTTTGTGAGATATCGCGAAGCCTGTTACGCGAGACGTGGTCTGGCGTACATATAGCTTGTTAATAAAATGTGTACACTTCCAAGCTGCTTCCTTTCTATCAGTAATTATAGCGAAATCATTGCGGACACGTTCGGAGTTATTTCAAAGTATACCTGGCACTAGTCTCATGTCTTATGTCTTTTCATAGGTGTGTTATTTGATCCATACGCTAACATCAATAACTTAGAAGGGATTTGACATAACTTTCATGTATTCTACAAACTGCGGCACACACAGCTTAAGATGTTCAGCATATGAAAAGAATGCTTCGTTTGTTTAGTTTTGATTACAAGGTAGACAGCAGAGGTACCTGGCAATAAAATGGTTCAAAGCGCACCGTCACTCAAACGGGCCGGAGCCGGAGGCCCGTTTTTCAATGGAAGCTATAATACACCATAAAAAATCAGAAGAGACGGGCCTTTAGTCCGTCCCAAACGGCACCGGCAGGCCACGCTAGGCCCGCTCCCTGCCAAACCCAGTTGCCAGTGGAGCGAAGCGAAGCTGGAAACTTGGTTTAGCGGAGCTTTTTGTGTTGTTTCTCCAAAGAAAGTATTCGAATATTAACTACATTTTCATTTGTTTTACTTACGAGCAGGGGACAAGGAGAAGACAAGCAGCCTGTATGTGTTCGCCAACAACAATTGGTTCCTGCGGGGCGTGGAGTCGCGGGCACTGCATTCGCCCAACGGCACGATCTCTGTTTACACCGACATGGGCGACCCTGGCGTGCGGCAGTGGCTGACCAAGACCAACCACATTCTAGGAAAGGCTACGGTAGGCATAATAGGGTATCTAACCGGATCTAAAGAACAACGGGTCTTTCTAAACCCTTTCCTCCCTTGCACTTATTGGCTGACGCTGGACGAAGTTCTTGAACTGACCGCAAGAGCGGTCGACCCCTAGTGTTGGGGTCGAGAACTTCGTCCGCGTCGGCTAATCAGCACCAAGGAGGAAAGGGTTTAGGAAGAAATAGTGTTCATCTCTGCATACGGATAGACATTTGCAAATAAGGTGTCCTTTTCGTAAGTACAATATAAATTTGTGCACTAGAATAGATACCGTGGGTTTACCCAACAAGTGCCC